AGAGAGTCGTGCAAGCTGGACAGGGAGCTTCAAAGGCGAGGTGTCTTCAGCGAAAGGCAAAGCATCTGGGATGATGGGGAAAATGTTTGGATTTATGAAGCGTCGCAGCTCCTCGAAATCTTCAGGTTCTTCGGATTCGGACAAGAACGAGGAATCCAAGAAATCCAGCTCCAAATACTCTAAAGTAAAAGCATCGGCGGAAATGCCCAAACAGGATGCACCTCCGAAAGCCTCTTCCGCCGCAGTTGCCTCCCCATCGCCTGAAACGAGTCAAGGCAGTTCAACATCTGTCACCAAAGAAGTAAAAGTGCCTCCACCTACCGTCCAGGTTCAAGCTCCGACCGACTCAGGGGACAAGGCCACCACGGCCGTGACTCCCGGGAAACCGTCAACGACTGAGGGTCTCTCGACTTCTCAGAAGATTCTAATGGCACCCGAACTACTATCTCTCCTGGTCTATACCTCTGGAGTGACCTTCCGTGGTCTTGGAAGAGATCAAGGATACACCTCTTCCCAGATGTTCTCGCTCTCAGAGAACAAGGCAAAATCTCTTATTCACAATCCTCGACAATCCAATACAAAGGACTCCCTGAGGTCGAGTGCTCGAGACAGTGCACTCTTGGTAGAGCACACTCGTAGTCATCTTGTTAGGGTCTATCCCAAGGGCACTAGGGTGGACAGTAGCAACTACGAGCCAAACGTCTTCTGGGCAATGGGTTGTCAATTGGTGACATTGAACTGGCAAACAGTTGGTACGTACCATCAGCAGTGGCAGATGTATACTATGGCTAATGGCTATATACGGTAGATCGTGGATGGCATATCAATCGGGCTATGTACCTCCGTAACGGTGGAGCAGGTTTTGTACTTAAACCGGCGGCTCTATTGGATCCAGAGTATCCATTCAATTTGCACAAGTACAAACCAACAAAACACGTCCTCCGTGTTCGTGTTATCTCCGCACAGCAGCTCCCCCGACCAAAGGACGGTCAAGGACACGAGGTGGTGGATAAAGATACAGTTGATCCCTATGTCAAAGTTGCCATCCATATTCCAATTTGGGCTAATGGGCAAAGCATTGAAAGCATCGCCCCTGTTCCCGTCGCACCTGTCGTCACCACCGACCACAAAGTAGGAACCAAAGAAGAAGGCAAGGCGATCAATCTGGATCCCAACAGTAGCGAGGCAAAACCTGGAGAAGTTGGAAAGTCCGAAACAACGCAGGAAGCTATCTTGGTTGAGTCTGGCGCTGCAGGCGACGAACAAGCTGGTGCCGCCGTCGGAGAGCGCGAAGTCAAAGTTAAAACGAGGACCATTAGGAATAACGGATTCAACCCTGTGTGGGATGAACAAGTAGAACTTCCTTTCGACGTGTTTGGGGGTGAAAGCATGAAAGACTTGATTTTTGTGCGATTTTTGGTGAAGGATAGTAACATGGATGAAGATGACTTCGTCGGTGCATACTGCTCTCCACTGAGTTGCTTGGAAATGGGTAAGTCATTTCAGCCCTGGTATGCAGATCATAGTGATGAGACCCTCTCAGGATATCGTCACCTTCCTCTATACGATGAGCAAACAAACCAAATTCTGTTTGCTGGGCTACTCGTCCATTTGTCTG